TGAGATTCTATGTATAATATATTATAGTCCCCAATTTAGGATTCCTTGTATTATGGGTACCAGAGAATGACAAATATACTTATATACGTTTAAATATTTACATGTATAGATAGCAAACAGCCAGACAAAGAACAAACAAACCTGTTCATCACACGAATGTTTAACCGATATGAGAATCGAACTCACGACCCTCGGCGCAAGAGTCAGATCCGCTAACTACTGCGCCACTGATTCAGTCTTAAAAATACGTTTTTTTTTGTGTCTCGACGCACAAGATTCAAGAATCAAGTAAAAAGCTTAACTTTGAACGGTTAGAGGATACTAAGCTGGCGCTGATCCGCGTTTCTTGGGCTTTCAACTTTGTTATCACACAGGAAAAACGACCGGAATTCGCTCTTTTGTCTCCGCGATATCATATAACACAAGAACAATGAGCAACAAAAGGTACTGCATTGCAGCTAGATGTAGGCTAATGGATTGGGAGGAAGCAAAAACTAAAAGCTTGGCCGGGTACCCGACTTACTCGCGTTGCAGCGAAAGAGTGCATTCGTTAATTCCCTTTAGCATGACGTCACTAGTTAGTAGTTCAGTTCTGTGCGATCGATAAAACATAGGACAATAGAACTATCCCAGATTTCACTAAACACTGAATTTAGTGCTCGTAGGGTCAACCAAAACAATGCGTTTGCATTGTTAATTTAGAAAAACAATATATAATATATATATATAACAATATATCGTATTATAATCCAACTAGCAGTACTCGCCCGCTTCGCTGGACATTTAAAATTAACATTATTATTTTTTTGTCATTATTATTAGGGAGTCCAACACTCATATAAATATTAGCCTATCCATTAAGTACATGTATTTTCTACATGGATACAAGTTTCAAGTCAATCGGATACATGGTTCAGTAGTTATAACGGAACATCCATAAAACCACAGTAGATTTATATATTAGTATAGATTACCCAAATATGTCGCACCTATAACGAACTGACAAAGTCCTCAACTGAGTTGGACATTTTTACTTGTAGGTTAGTAGTGTAATTGTTTAATGTATACCAGATGATGACCGAGCTTTGCTCGTTTTTTTTTTGATAACGTCATCTTGTTGTGTCTTTAAAGCGGTTAGTTGCCCTCAATTAAGAAAAATAGTATTATTATTCGCCAATAGATGTCGGGAAGAGTTGATTATTGAAAACACGAATAAAACAACATTTTCTGAAAATAAATCGTAGCTAGATCGATTATGACATTATAAGTTGGATTAGTTTTCCTTATCGTGTTATTTTGTCGTATAGTTGTAAGAAACATTGTGTACAAATTCAGCACTTTGTCTTGCTTAGTCGTGCGCACATGGCTTATGTTGCAAGCCAGATTTTGTCATTTTACTTGTGTGTTTTTATGTATATTTTTAGCTTGTGATGTGTATTGTGTGACTAATAATTAAAAAAATAAAAAAACAAAGAACTTTGCAGTATTATCTGTTTTTTTTATGGTTTGAATGAGAGTGTGGAACATATAAGACAATATGGCGAACGGAATTGGATTGGGTGAAGGATTGCCTGATGGCGATTTATCTCTCAACTGGTTGCATGGCGTCTTGTGAACCCGCAGGGGTTTATACAGCTACCCTTGTCCATTTTTAACGTAAGACTATTGAAATGGCGTGATTCTGATGAGATTTTGTCGTGAAGCAGTAATGCGGTTCGGTTTAAAGGATGGGGCACCCGTTGTACTGTAAAAATTGAGTCCTTAGAACTCATGCCTCAAGGTCGGTGGCGACATTTATGCTGTAGATGTCTATGGGCTCCGGTAATCACTTCACACCAGCAGGGTCACGAGTTCGTACACCCATCTATGCAAAAAAATTAATAATAGTTTAAAAAAACTAACAAATACGCTTTTATAGAAAATTCAACTAAAAATTAGAAAATAAATTGTAATAAATTTGAATTAAAAATAGTGTAAGAGAAAAAATGATTTTATTGTAAAAAAGCGTATTATTTATTTTTCATTTTTTAATTGAATTTCAATTTTTTCAACATCTTTTTTTCAATTTTTTTAAAGTATTCAATTGTCATCGGTCCTTAATAAGTATACCAAATTTCGAGTTAATCCGACGTTTTGAAGGGGATCAAAATTATGTTCAAAGATTCCGTTACATACTAACATACATACGTCTGAAGCTAATAAAAGCGTATTAATAATAACGTATTTAAGAAAAAAAACACAATTTTCTGTAATTCCAAAAACAACAGCATTGCTTATCAATATTATGTAGTAAGTACCTCTAATAACAAAAAAATATGTTTTGAAATATCAAAGTTACTACAGCTGAAATATTTAATAACACNTGTAATTCCAAAAACAACAGCATTGCTTATCAATATTATGTAGTAAGTACCTCTAATAACAAAAAAATATGTTTTGAAATATCAAAGTTACTACAGCTGAAATATTTAATAACACTAAAATTGTATTATTTATTTGTTTACAGTAATGTGTACTTTCAGGTCGACTAGCGTACTCATAAAATCCTAGGATACCCAAATACCTCAATAAGAAAGTGGCGAGTCATTGCCGACACTTGTCTTCCGCTCCTCACTAAGAGATCTCGGCTGCTTTTCATCAGAACATTTATACGAAGTGTGAACAGATTTAGCGGTATGTACGCTTCGTTGAGCTCGTAACACGTGGCATTGTACTGTTTATGCTTTTTGACTTTCACCCCGCGCCTGTCAGATATTGAGATGAACAGAGTTGAGAATTATTAAGCTGCGTTCTGACTATGCTATACTATAGTGCCATATACAGTATAGCAGCGTATACTTTTTTTTTTTCCACAGGAGAAAATCGCCGGATCCCCACCCGCGCGGCAGGTGGGGTATGTGGGAGTTGAACCTCACTAAAAACTCCTGCCGCTCACAACCGGCGCCCTACCTCGGACCGGGCCGGAGCCCAGTCGGGGCTATTCATGCGGTCTACCATCACCCGGCTTCCTATTGCGGGTGAGCGTGCAAAGCACGCCACCCCACGTCTGGGTCTCTCCCCGCACAAAACGGGTGGGACCCCTAGCTCTTAGGGGGCCAGGTCACGGATACGACCCCGGTCCCGACCCCCTGCTCGGCGGCGGCGGGTTTCTGCGTAGTGAGGAGAGCTTTCCCTCACTCGGCCCGCCGCCTCCTTCTGCGAGATGGTGCACTCGCAGAAGTCGAGCATAGCCTTCCATGACTCATCGCTGCCAAGCATCGACGCCACGACGCCAGGCAGCGACAAGTCAGGTCCTATCTTTGCGACCAGGACACGGCGCTGCACCTCCCACGCGGGGCAGACAGCGAGCGTATGCTCCGCCGTGTCCAGGTCGTGTCCACAATGGTGACACCTCGTCGTCGGCTCAGCTCCTATCCGGCGCAGGTACTTCCCGAAGCATCCGTGCCCGGTCAGCACCTGCACCAGACGAAAGGTGAGACGTCCTTCGCCACGATTCACCCAGTCATCAAAGACCGGGTAAACCGCCTCGACGGTCCGTAGCCCCCACGTGGGGTTGGCCAATCGCCTCGATCACGACTCGAGCACGGACCGCCGAGAATGGGCCTTCCGCGCCCGCAGCTCACTTTCGGGGAGACGCGCCACACCCCGAGCACGAAGCTCGCTGCGCCACCGATAGTCGGCAGCGAGCGACTCCGCCTCCAGCTCCCATGGCGGCGTCCCCGCCAACACACACGCCGCCTCGAAGGAGACGGTGCGATATCCGCGGAGAGCAGCGTATACTTAGCCAATGATGTATAGTACAGTACAGTTTTTTTTATGATTGAAGGATTACTGGTGGCCTGGAAGTTTTTCTAGTTTCGCCTGGACAGGTGGGCGAGCAAAGGCTCAGCTAAGAGGGATGGGATTTGCTAACAGCTACCCGAGCGCCTCCGAAGGAGACCTAACAACTCAAGAGCAGCTGCTTCGCGGATGAATCTACCACCGGATCGGAACGGGACCCGGCAAGAAGATGCGGCGAGCAACTCAGCGGGCTGATGCATGGGTTAGGTTGCACGTCGACCTCTTTGTCGAGTTCAACGAGTAAGTTTACCGGGGTCCCTAAGCCTGCTCCTAATGTTAGAGCTGAAGGCGTCAAATGCAAGGGTTATTGGATCTAGTACAGTACAGTGTGAACGTGTCCTTAACAATGTATGGTGCGCGATTTTGTTGTGCTCTGAGCTATATACTATATGTCATATTATATGTTATCTATATATTAATACGTGAAGAAAAAACTTTGTATCCCTTTTTACGAAAATTGCGCGGACGGAGGAGTATGAAATTTCCCACACTTATAGAAAATATAGAGAAGAAGTGCACAATGCTAATATTTTTTTTAAATAATGCATAAAAGATACTTTAATTCAATAAAGAAAACATTACACAGACTACATACCATGTATTTGACGCACACACGCATGCATACTATTTATTTATTGTCAAACTTTTGTTCTTGACGTCTGTGGGCAAATTGAGAATAGATTAAATATTGTTTTTATTTTTATTGCTTAGATGGGTGGACGATCTCACAGCCCACCTGGTGTTAAGTGGTTACTGGAGCCCATAGACATCTACAATGTAAATGCGCCACCCACCTTGAGATAATATAAGTTCTAAGGTCTCAGTATAGTTACAACGGCTGCCCCACCCTTCAAACCGAAACGCATTACTGCTTCACGGCAGAAATAGGCGGGGTGGTGGTACCCACCCGCGCGGACTCACAAGAGGTCCTACCACCAGTAAAAATGTACTATATGTATGTACCAGTACTATATGTTTAACGTTATTGCTGTCGCGTTGTCTGTTATTTCAGCATCCGAACCTTTTGTAGTGATAAATACTTCCTATCAATTTGGCGTTTTATGTACCAATTCAGTTTGCAATATGCTACTTTACGATACGCACTAAAGTGTACTGAACGCTTCTCTATTAAATCAACGATCATTAAATGAGAGCATTACCTAATAATTATGCTTCTTTATGATTCGGCAACGCGAGAAGCAGCTCACATCTGTAACAAATACAAACAAAATTTGAATGTTCATGTTAAGAAATACGATAAACAATCAATAGTTAAATAAATAATAGTTTAAAAAAACTAAAAAAATACGCTTTTATAGAAAATCCAACTAAAAAATAGAAAATGTCCTTCTTCAAACAAGGCCTGTGGAGTATTAAACGGTAGGCAGCGGTTTGGCTCTGCCCCTGGCATTGCTGACGTCCATGAGCGCCGGTAACCACTTACCATCAGGTGGGCCGTATGCTCGTCTGCCTACAAGGGCAATAAAAAAAAAAACTAGACCAGACCGGCTTGTCCGTCCAGCTTCAGCGGAAAAGCCAGGCGAATTCAAAGGCAGTTACATCATGAATATATCAACCACCGGATCATAGTAGTCGCGACTTTGGTGCTCTCAAGGTGAATGCTTAAAAAAATTATTTGAGTATCGTTTTATTTATCTATATCGCCTTTATTTTAGTTCTGACATCGCGACAGTCGTCGCCAGACCTGAGAACATTCACCAATAACCATAGCAATTGCCATACCAATGCCTCCATCGATATTTATATCACTTAAGAATTCTTTTTTTTTTTGCCTATATGGATGGACGAGCTCACCATAGCCCACCTGGTGTTAAGTGGTTACCGGAGCCCATTGACATCTACAACGTAAATGCCGCCACCCATCTGAAAACTCGAGCTCTAAGGTCTCAATATAGTTCGACTCTCGATGGACCGTGGACTCGGCTGAAATTTTGCGTAATTAATAACCTTATATGCGGCGGGTTTATGTGTCCCATTCTACAAGAATTTAATTCAACTAAAGAAATGACGGTCCAAAGACACAATACTTAAATTAAATATAACTTGTTCATTGAAATTTATAAAATTAAATAAGAAATTAAAGAAAAAAGCCTTAAAGTTTTTTTTCGCCTATGCGCCATCATCGACATAGCTTCGCTTCAGAATTACAATGGCATATATTGTCTCATCTCATCATATAACATGACACGACACAAGCGTATAAAATGCTTGTTATCGGAGATGCCTCGTTATCGTCAATAGGACGACACCTCGCGGAATTGAATGCCTAACATCGATACCGGGAATAACTCGGACAAGGTCGCAGGGAATCCAAGGATATCCGAGATAATTTGCGCGTTAAAGAAATCTCTCTGTAACTTCGGGTGGAAAATTATTCAATTCTATTCAAACGTCAATCATCTTCATTGGTACGTGCAGAATCTGAATTTAATGCTATCGAAGTCCGACGAGCCTAGGTTCCACCAATGATGGATTGTTCCTGTAGCTAAATAACTTTCGAGGACGCATTAGCATCGCTTCATATGTCTGAGAACTCTTGAACTCCAATTGTATCAATGGCATCCGGTGAAATTTTTACGTGAATTCGAACCTGTGAAGTGTCGATGGGCATGTCACCGTAAAAGTCATATTTTTGAGTACATGTAAAATGGTAAATTGTGATTGTGAAAGAAGTCACAGTAGAAGTTCGTATATCAGGTAGAAAATGACTGGAGTACGTAAAAAACAGTCGCTTGAACGCACTGGCAAGCTTGTAGAATAAATTAGCCGGGCCGTATCCTACTGTCGCTCGGGAATCAGTAATTAATTCGCTCTAGAAAGTTCTAAACGAAATGCAGTAAACACCCAGTGCTATCCAACTAAAATACACGAACGACGCCAAATTCCACCTGCCGCAAGAATAGCATAACCCAGCCTCAAATCCTAAGCTAAACCCATAAAAGTTGAGGAACACAAGCCCCACCCCGGGGAATGTGACCACCGAAGAAAGATATCAATTTATGAGGTACCGGTTTATTGCGATAGTAAAAATAACTTTTGGGTCGTCCGTGCGTTTCGGTCTTCTAAATCCTTTCATCCGGGTCCTGGAAGGGTTTTAGTGCTTTAGTTTTGCTAATGACGATTTGTGGATATTATTTTTTTGTTGGCACACGTGAATTATCGGCTCGCAGCAGATATTGACTTACGAACACAATTAATGCTACTCGAGATCCTCGTGGAAGGCGTGGAGTGTCTTGAGCAATCGTGAAACACTATGACTATAATAGCTATAATATATTTCGGAAATTTAAGTTTTTACAATTTACATTTTTACAATACTCAAGAACATGGTAATAACAATAAAGCCTAGACAGACGTATATGATTGGCTATCATATCTCACATGATGGTAATAGTGAATAGAAGGAGAGAAATAGAATAGAAAGGAATAGAAATCATCTGAATGCATGGTAACATCAACTTTGGGTTATCAGATTTTAGCCTCAATATCTTTGATACGACTGTCCTACCCTACAAACTGGAATAATAATGTATTCACGATAGAAATTCTTTAGACATAGGCAGAACCCACCCGTATGTGCTAGCGAGTTGTCTTACCCTCAGAAAAGCCGAATTTAGTGGCAGGGAACATGTGAAATTTTGGACAGAGAATGTTATTAAAGAGGTGGTGGTAATTGCTTCTGTGGATGAATCAACAGTATTATTCAAAGTTAACCGGAGAGTATTTATTCACTGTCACTGTAATACGTTCGGAAATAATTTTACGGTAGTCGGAAGTGAGGTAGAATGAGGTAATTTACTATAGGGTATAAGAGATAGCCGTTTCATACAAACACACGGGCCAAAACCAAACCCGGCATCCCATAAAAAACGTTTGGGCTTAATTTATTCGCGAGGTGTTGAGTGGAGTGGATATCTGTTGGACCGTATGTGCTTCTGTGTACCAGCAAAAGGATTATATCCGATGAGCTTATTCGTGGTTCATTACATTTTACGAACGATATTACAAATTACAATTACATATCACGTGTTTCGATTTGAAGGGTGGGGCAGCCGTTTTATTGTAAAAACTGAGACCTTAGAACTATTATCTCAAGGTGGGTGGCCACATTTACCTTGTAGATGTTACCTATTTTACCTATCTTTGTGGCGTGATATGACGATGAAAAACCATGACCAGAATCTGGAATATCGTGTGGCATCATACAACACAAGATATTTGACAGATGCCTGAATCTCGCTTACGACATTTTCAAGATAAGCTTGCATATATACAAGTCCGAATAACAACATTCGGATCGGTCATCGTTCTCGTCGAACCCGTCGCTTGCGACGAAGGGCTTGACGAGTAAATTAACCCTCAGACACAGCCCACTGAGTTTCTCGCCGGATCTTCTCAGTGGGTCGCGTTTCCGATCCGGTGGTAGATTCTGCGAAGCACGGCTCTTGCTAGGGTTCGTGTAAGCAACGTCGTCAGGTTTGAGTCCCGTGAGCTCACCTACTAGTTGAGGTTACGCTAGCCTCTCAAGCCTCTCAAGGCTATAAGTTTAAGTAGGAAAAAAAAACATTTGGACCGTTGGTCTACCGAGCAATATCACCCGCTCGGTGGAAGATCTTCCCTTCGTCGTTATTCCCAAAATTGTTAGTAAATAATTCAGTTGCCGATTGAGGAATACCATTTACACGGAGCGCTGTGAAGTTATTGTAGCACCGATGAGACCATTGTGTTGGTTTATTGCGGGTACGTGGGCCACGCAATGGAGCCGTAAACCAGAAGTTTCTGATTAGAATTTATAGTGTTCACGTTAATTGGATTTCATGATTTGAAAATTAATTAAAACGTTAAGATGACGATGATAAAGAAGCACGTGATGCGTTTTGTCAGTTAATAAGTCATGTGATTCTGTATTCTGAGACCCTAAAAAATATTATGGTCACTATTGCGTAAAATGTTAATGTAAATAAAAAGAATCAACAATTCTGTTTACAAAATTACAGTTTAATTAAAATTATTTTTACAGTATCATCTACACCGATTTACGAATTTACACCGACGTGGTTCCGTTTTTTTTATGGCTTAGATGGGTGGATGAGCTCACGGCTGACCTGGTGTTAAATGGTTATCGGAGCTCATAGACATCTACAACGTAAATGCCATCACCCACCCAGAGATATGAGTACTAAAGTCTCAGTTTTTACAGTATAACGGTAGCCCCACGCTTCAAACCGAAAGGCATTACTGCTTTTTTCTTTAATTTTGTCCATATGTTTTGAAAAAAAAATCGGTTGTCTGTAAAGTCGGTTCACTGATGATAGTTGAACGTGACAACGTCATAATAAAATACTGATGGAATGGTTTCATTTTTCAATTATCGCAATTATCGTTGGTACTATAAACAATTGACACCACATTCACTTTTCACTGAACTTCATACTTGACGAAAACATGTAAATGTATTATTGTATAGCAGCTGTCCGCGCGGATGCATCGCTCACTCAAGTAGGAGAGAGACAGATGTCGAGCGCTGCCGAACGCGGAGGCCGATTGTGCCTCTTTGTCGCTCGTTGCGCGCTCTCGCTTGCAATTCAAGCCTTAAAATGCCTTAAATGGAACGCCTCAGAGCGAGGTAACGCCGCATGAGTCATGTTTTTTCGTGCGTGCAGCCGGCTCCATCGAATTATAAGACGTTGTCACGTCAAAAAACCCAAGGTAAACCTGAATTCAAGAGTTCCCTGATCTATGAAGAGAGAAGCCTGCGTTTGTCTGTGGGACAGCTATAAAGCAATCGCATAAAACAAAGTTGTTATAAAACTATGATGTGCGTCGTTTTTTATGACTTAAAATAGCATAGTAGAAAAGTTTCTCGTATTTCACAATATCTCTCTTGACTATCCCTTCATAGTTCTAAGTATTACTCACGTGTTGGTTATTAACTGGGAGTGTGTACTTCTGATCGTTTTAATCATTACTTGTTGAGTGCTTTTATTTTGGGCGTTCCTTCGCCTGACTGACGCTAGTTCGACTTTGGAAAATGTATGAATCTGAAACGTGAGCCAATTGAATGTGAACACGTTTTCTTTTTTCAGAATACCCATGACTAGAATAGAATTAGAGCCCATTGAGTTTTTTGCCGGATCTTCTCCGTGAGTCGCAATTCCGATCCGCTGGTAGATTATGCGAAGCAGTGCTCT